TTTTAATGAGGAATTTTCTATTTTATTCTAAAAACCGTACAATTATAGATGAAATTCCTTTTTTCCAAGTAAGCACCATTATTATTATTATTATTATTTTTTACGAATGAAGGACCTACCCTTAACCGGCCTCTGGATGGCAAAGGCAAAGTGTATTATGGCCCCCAGCCCAAAATTCTTGGACTCCCTTTAACTGTCATTTTTTTTTAATTCTTGTTTACATTTTCTTGGGTGCAGGAGCTATTGATCCACAAGTGCCACAGTTTGCTTAATCTTTGAACAGCCATATACAGCGTTTGTAAGGAAAACAGCGCCCTCTTAGTTTTTAATTAAGCTCCTTTTACTATTTCAACAGTGGCCAGTCATGCATGACAAGAGGGATACCACCAAGGCATCATTAGAAAGAATACTGTTTCGACTTTTCGGAGATCCTAATACATTATAGTCATATCTCATGGTTTGGGCATAATTACCCCTTTCCCCAGGGTTAAATTTTTTTTTTGGTTTGTTTTTTTTTGGCTTTTTGTCAGTAGGAGACTATTTCCCAGCTCCCTATTTGCTATTCTGAGCACTCTGGCAAAGTACTGTTGATTCAAACTTGATAAATGGACTCTGCGGTTTCGACTAGAAATACACTCAAGACCTTTTTTTTTTCTTGTGATGTCACAATCGTGCTAGACCACAATGTGTTGTGATGCTAATAAGTGAATAGTGTTGTGACGGTAATCTCCCTATTGATGATAAATTAGTTAAACATTCAGTGTTCTCACGTGCACCTGCACGTGGTTGAAGCTGCCCGTAGGAATATATGGAATCACTGTGACCACAGAAGTCCAAACGTGGTGGTATTGTTTACATTTAGCACAATCCGGTAGCTTGGGTGAAAAAGGTCTACGCTTTACAATCACTGACAACTCTGTTTCTCTTCTTTGCTGCAAGACCTTTTTTTCATATCTACACTACCCCCAAACAGTGCATCGATATAGTTGGAAATCCGTGTTCTTCACCATTAATGTCACAGTAAATGTAAATCGTCAGTATTATTAATTAAAATGAAATAAGTGCATGCGATGAAAATGCGTCTAACCATATAAAAGCCAGAGACCGTTTGTTTATTTCTGTGTAGATATGACTTTTGTTTGTTTTTTTTCACTAGCCACTTAAATTGGCCTTAAATGTTTAATAGAAATTAATGGCTGAAGTTTGAAATCGTTTGAATGCGAAATATTTCTATACCACCACCAAACTTGGCTGGGGTAACATAAAACATGCATTTTCTTTGCCCTTAAAGAGCTTTTTTTTTTCAATTTTATTTTTCTTACGTTGAATCCTACTATACACCTCTCAGTGCTGCATCAGACGTTTCTCCAGGGCCCCTGCGGGCTCGGGAAAACAACCCTAACCTGAGGCTCATGTAATGTCTGAAGTTAACTCATCTGTAAATGCTAATAGAGCCTTGACCTACGGCCACCCATACCAGTCAAGAACTGCGTGATTTCTTCTGCACCGTGTGATTGCCTGGGTCGTCTCCTACCTGTTGCGAGTCCGGGGATGCAAGACCTGACTTCAGGACTAGGCCACGGGTTTGGGGGGGTATGCTTTTTTTTTTTTTTTGGTGTTTTCGTGACTCAGTCTGAAATTAGATTGGAAAATAACTTGGACTTCCATTCAGCCATGGTGACTGGGACTCAAGCTTGGTCGCGACTCGAGTCGTGTATTTTCCTTTAAAACAATGTGGGACGAGCGTACAATATTCTTTGTTAACGTGATTCGACGCTGGAACGCGAAAAATTGCATACAGGGTCCGTGGACGCGCGGGCACAAGTACACCACACACTATGATGTTATGCCGATAAGTGTCCGCTACCAAAAATGTCTGTCTGTCTCCACTGTGTATGCCCTGTACGGCAATACGCCCCATAAGGCTACTTGTAATTCCAGGTGGATATTATTATCTGGCATCACACCGGAGCGCGCATGCACATCATCATCGCCATCAGCAGCAGCATTGCAAAACAAGACCGGTTGGCTTGGACTCGGCCTCGAACTCGAGGCTGGTGACTCGCGACTCGGACATGGCACTGGTGACTCGACCACTACAGCTACGTGAGCGGGTGTAGTAACATATGACAGTAAACTCAGTGTTGGTCAAAAATTGCAGCTGGCCTCAGTCCTCATACAGTCATCCAGCCAGGTTTTCACCTTCTTTATCGTGGTCGCTAGTACCTTGCTTCGAATGTGTGAAAAGCTGCTTTGTTTTGTTTCCTCCAAAAATGTCCTCCTTTGAGAGCTCAAAGTTGACTGTTTTGTCCTAAATGAGGCTCAGCCATGACTGTGGTCGTTCTTATTGCTCGGTCAGGCGATTCCAAGGATTGGAAGGTGAGGAAATGCAAAATTAGAACGCAACCTGGGAGATGATTTGTGGATGAAGCGGTGAGATATAGTGTGTTGTAGATTGTTGTTCCCAGCGAACTCAGTCAAAAGAGATTTAGCAAACGATGATTTTACCGAAAGGAAAATTCATTTTCTGAAAGAAACGAAGACAAACGACCTCAAGTCATTGCCATATTTGAGTTTATCCCGGTAGATTCTGCTTCAGGGAGCTGGTGACAGACCCAAAGGATCGTGTGACCTCATTCCACGTTGGCATCATGGAACCTCTGTGTAGGAAACTCGGTTATTCAGGCACCTCGGCACGCACCAGCCCCATCACCTCAAGGGACATTTTGGTATAAACTGAGACGCTATAAAGAGCCCATGAAAAAATACATGTTGTGTCAATCCTGCAGTGTGAACAGCCTGGGGCCTGCACTAGCAAGACTGAACGATCACTCAAACTGCTTACGACACACAGTCCTGCCTCTTTGAAGCCTCTTCCAAGGCAACGAAATTACACGTCGGCATGGCGCAACGCTTTTGCCATTTTTCTTGTTATTACGGTGGCGCACACATGACGCGTCGTGTGTCGTGTCGTGCCGTCACCATCGCTTCGTGCTGTGTTATGTCCCTTCCTTGTCGCATTTTTTCTGCGTAAACGTTGCTTCTTCCATTGCTTGTCTCGTCTCATCGCTGTGCTTTGCGTCGTACATCGTGTCGTGTCGTACGTCGCGTATATTGCGTCGCCTAATGCACGACACGACGCACGACGCAACGTGTCGAGTGCTGCAACACATTGCTTCATGGTGTTTTATATAGAGGGTGCCATCACTGTTTTCTTTCGGTTCGTAGAGTACACCATATCAGACAACTAATCACTGTGTATATGGAATCGTCCCTATTTAATCAAGGCAATAATCTGGCTGGGACAAAAAAACAATCAGATACGAGTCACGGCAGAGGTCATCGACAGAGAGGCTAGTTAGAGCGTGGTGTTTGTGTGGCTGTCCATCAGAATCAAACACGGTGTCCCTTAATTTGGCACCATCTGTCCCAGTCTACGTGAAACAACATGATAATTTCATAAAACAAGCCTCCTGCAATCTTGGCAGTGTCTCGTGATCCAACTGATTACTGCTGACGAACCCTCAACAGGTGTTAGGCAAAAGCCTCAGAGATTTGTTGAGAACAACTGTTTAGTTTCATTGTAATATGGGAAAAAGTAATTGACATTAATCTCTACTAACAGAGGGCGCACTCTATTGAGACAGTACCCGAACTGAACTAGGACGTGTCCAGAATGGGCTTCTAGAGGCTATGGCTACATCCATTGTAAGTGTGACCCCGCGTATATTCAATGGGCCTAGACCCAGACTTAACTGTACTCGACAAATTCCAGTCTACGACTTGAGCTGTCAATAAACCGTTTGGATGTAGCATGCTTGGAAAACAACAAGCATATTAACACGGGTATCTATTAGCCGTTGGACTGCGACTACTACAGGCACATGCCAAATTACTGCCAGCGTTTTCCATGTTTTATCAATGACCGTGTGATATTAATACATAAATAGTTTTAACTGCAACTTTGCTATTACGAATTCAGACTAATAAAGCTTCAAGTCTCACACACATTGGATGGATATGTTTGTGATAGCTAATATGTTAGGTTGGATTTTCAAATATTTTATAAAAAAAGTCCGTTGTGCCATGTAACTCAGGCGAGGAACATGCACACCTCTTTGCATAAGAATGCTATAACTGTAACACTTTCAACTTTTCTGTTTACTGTAGATAGTTCGAATGTGTCTTTCGGTGACTATGCATTTACCAATAAATATGCCCTGGGAAATAGCGTGCATTTTTGTATTACAAAGGAATTGTTCCTGAATAGGTATTTTCAGCTCCTTTGACATAAAGGGTTATGAGTGCCATTGCAGCACAATCCATGCTTTTCTTTAATAGTCGATGATGTCACCCCAAAAAATTGCATGGGAACGGTAAAAGGAATGCCACTTCCGCGTTGGAGGTATTGAAGTGTGACACTAACCCCTCAGATTGCAATCAGTGGTGGTCCTCTATGGAGGAAAACACACTCAAAACAAGTTGTGTAAAAAACAATTGGGCAATATCACTTCATTTGACAACTGGTTCTTGGCTAATCATCCGTCGGTACATCTGGGGGCAAATAACTCAACTATTTAGCAGTAAAGGCACAACAGTGCAGTTGATGATACGGGAATCTTTGGGTGAATTTTGTCCACTAACCTTCCGTTCATAATCTGTAAATGTCTGAACTGCCGCTGAAATGATGGAGGGATCTCGGGCGTTTGCTTCGTGTGCCGACCTGACAAACAGATTTCCAGGTAAGGCTTCAGAAGACACAAATTGTTTTCTTTCATAAGAAGAGTCCGGTGCTCTTTCCGATCTGCAGCATCTGATGTACAAAATCCCTCTGAAAATTATCTAGGGAAAATATCCAGCATTCCCGAGACTGTTGTTGGAGGTTTTTGTAGAAGCAGGATTCATGTTTGTATGTACTTCACTAGACAGAATCTTTTCGTCATTTCAGATATGGAAAATGTGGAATTTAAAGCCAGTTTCGTTTTCAAAGGATATAAGCACAAATATGAGGTACGGGAGGAAGGAAGGAGCAGGCTGCAGAGAGCAGGGCGTGCTCTGACAAAACCACTCCTGAGTCTCCTCACCGATCCTAAGCCGAGACACACGCTCCGAGCACACGGCAGGCCTGGCGTTTCCCCTCCGCCGGTGCCTCAGAGGGGCCAGTCACTCGACGTCAACGGGGACGTAGTGGCTAGGAGAGCTCCACAAGACCCTCTCCCACTTCCTCCAGTTCACGAGGCTCCCAATACCAACCCTGGTCAATCGTTCGCCGATGAGATCCCCACACGTTCGCGCTCACACAACGAAATCGAGGGAGTGCCGCTGGCCTCCGGTACCAGCACTGTCGAAAGCACGACCCCACCGCCAGTGCCTCCGAGGGACCACCGTTTGCGTTTCTACACGCAGCGCGAGAAGGCTAGGGACCACACGGACACAAAAGCAATGACAGTCCCCCTTCCACAGGCTTCCATCACCGAGACCCGGGCAGTGTTCCCCGCAGAAATCTCCCCATGTCTACACTCACACCACGGCAACAATGAACCCGTGTGTAGGCCAAGGACCACCCGTGCCAACGATTTCGAAAGCACGACCCAAGGCTCTTGTGGAAGAAAGCAAATCCCTGGCCCACCCTCCCCGTCCCAGGCACACGTAAGTAGGCACACGTGTGATCACGACAACATTAAGCACGGCGGGTACACTTACGGCATGTGTTTCCCTGAGGAGCTGCAAAGCCAGCCCGAGGCTGTGAGGGGTTACTCGTCATCCGATGAGGATCTGTACGCCAAGGAGAGCGATGAGACATACGACAAGATGAAGCAGTTACGAGCCCTCCAAAGGCAACGGGCCCCCGTCCCCTCACTCTCGGCAGACCTTTTGGGCACGCAGTCAGCTGAGGATGAAATATCCAGCGATGAGCAGTATGCCATTTCATCCTGCCCTCCAGGGAAACAATGGCAAACAATCTCCGTACAACAACTCACAGGTGTACCTATCTTTTATGTCTGATCTTAAATTTGAGAGCTGAAATCCACGTCATCTGATAGCGTTTGACCTGTAAGAGTTTGAAAACAATGCGATATCGACCCAAACACCAATTAGGTTTGCACATAAAGCAGTTCAATTCAGTGGAACAAAATATTACCAATATACACAGACCATATTGGACTCACGCCAACTTTATGCATATTCTGTAACGTTGTTTACCGAACTCCGAAACCGACTAAAACAGCTCTGCAAATTCACAATGGCGGTGTTCCAGCCTGATCCTCAATGGCTGTCTATATATATTGAAAAATGGGCAGAACGTTGTGTCGCGAAATGTGGACTTTTGTCAGCAGCCTTAAAAATGGGCGTCCATGTTTCGATATTTGGTGCTATTTCACACCTGCCCAAACTGGTTCATACACCGGTTTGGGCGGCCAATAGCTATGGGGATAACCAAGAAAAAGCCGAGTTGTTTTCACTGAATGCGTGGAAGGTATTTCAGGTCAATGCGATGTGTTTCTTTTTGACATGCAACCATTGCATAGGTTTTATGTACTTGTGTTCCATCGCATTTCAAAAATGTGTCGCCTAAGCTAATTGAAATTTGCATGTTTATGATCCAACGTGTTATGTTCTAGGTACATGGAAATCTTTAGTGTTCTGAGCATTACTGGGAAAATATACACAAATAAAAACTGTTGTCTGCCGCGGCATCACGAGATCGCGTCCATGGTTGTTGTAAATGAATAAGAAGTACACTTTAACGTCATCAAATCATAGTTTGCTGCCCCCATGATACTCGGTTACGCTTACTGATAGAGCTGTGCAGTGTACAGTATTGATGGAAAGCCCCTCAGCGTTTCCATTCAGATTTCAGTGAAAAGAATCATCGGGCCTTTAATTCTCTCTTTTTGTAAGGTACCCAATACCTACGTTGGACTGTACGCTGTGTCGCAATGCTGGAGCGAAGTCCCTGGGGATTTTTTTAAGGGGGGGATTTTTTTCATCTATTTGTAAAATGAAACCGGCTGACTATAACATTCAATCTATATTGTCCAGTTCCCCATCATATCTGTTATACATTTAATTTTACCTTTTTTAAATTCTTGCTAGCAGTTCTTGCCTTGATTCACTAGTGATGTTTTTACATGAGCAGTCATAGCATGACAGTCGTCAAAGCGTTCTTGAGTGGCATGATACCTCATAAATTTCCAAAGATATAAGCACACGGTTTCTGTGCTTGTTTCCTCCTAAACTTGCCTTAGCTTTTGCTAAATGGCAGCGTTCAGAGTTCAATTTCATACCAGTCACTTTTGCAACTTTGCTAACTTATTTTTCTTCCAGGTGTTGAAGCATTTCTGTGTCATCTCAGAAACAATCGGGCTCAGCCGATTAATTGACAACAAGGGTGAAAGTGATCTTTTGTAGGTCAAATTCAAAACCGGTTAAATTTGTCTCGAGGAGCTGGGAACACATCAAAGCCACGGTGAATTTTGGTCATTTCAAAAGATCAGTGATCGATCTTTTTCAATATCTGTCCATTTGTCAGATTTGAACTCGTCATCACGAACTGATGGTCATGTGCGTGTTTTAAAGGACTGAATTAGTCTTTGTTCTATCGATTTCAAGAATGCCTCAAACAAGTTCATAGAATGATGTACAATTTTGTCACTGTATTGCAAGTCAAACAAGTTGTAGGTTGAACAACCAATCTATACCACAAGAAGATCTGAATCGATTCTGTGCGAATGATATTGGAGTACGAATGCATTTTCTTGCATCAATTTGAAGGTTAATATAAAGATTTATCGGGCTACTCTCAGATGTTGACCCATAAAATTGGAAGTACATGGAAGTACGGCAAGTGTACATATTTTTAATTACGATATATAGACCTATACAACAAAATGTTAACCATATACAAACTGTTATCTGATATTAAAAGTAGAAATGAATGTAATCACGAAAGCCGACATTAACAGAAAATAATATACAATCATGTGACGAACTCAAATGATGTTTGTTTAACATTGATAGACAAAGAATGAGGAAAAAGGTTGTCATATTCGTTTGGCGATTAGGGACTGAGCGTTCACTAAGAGGTAAGGTAAATGTATAAAATTGTTTGAACAAAAAGCAAATATGAGTGACTAGAGTAGAAATCAAACACAAATGAGAGGTTAGAAATTTTCGAAACAAATTTGAAATTAAGCCATTTATGATTTGAGCGAAAAGGTTTCGAAAGGTGCGGCAAAGTTACATAAACAAGCACATGCACAATGTTCTTTTTGTTTTCAAACAAATAAAAACGTGCCTGATATAGCATTACAACATATTTGAAAACGTAAATGAAACACTGTTTTCCTCTGGTTACCTTTTCTGTGAGAGGAATAAGTCGTATTTTTTAAGAAAACAGCTCTAGAGAAATAGGCCTTACTTTGGAATTTTAGAAAAGGGACAGAGATAGAGGAAGAGATGTTTTCTTCTGCCGGCAACAATGATACATGACAGAATGAAAATAAATATCAGATTGTGTGGTAATAGACGAATTTCCTTCTTGATGACACAGTTCGGCGTAGACAAAAATTTTCGAAATGTCAAGATCTGGTGGTTGAAAAATATGCGGGAAAGGTTTGAAATTGATTGACACTGTGTGAAAAAATACTGCCTGACCCCTGCATGTGTACCAATCGTCTCTTCTGTACGAACTGGGGAAAAATGAATGAAAATAGGTATTATAATAGCCAGGACAACCCCAAATTGAAATCAGTCTGTCAAATGAAACTACTTGAATGACTTTCATTTTAAACTACTCTTTCATAAGTGGTACATTTAAGAATTTAATACAAACATAAAATTATGACTAAAACTTGGGATGTACAATACGATCGCAGCAAAATGGTTAAATATACCTACATTCACCCAGATTTTATGACAGTAAATTCGCATAACCATTTACTTTGAAATAGTTTATCTATCCTTGATTACATGTTAACTTTGCACGCCATACTTGTCACTGTTCGTAGGCTGCCGAAAGTTGCGTCTCACTCGTAACCAGGTCTACAAAAAGCATCTAAGCCGTAAATAAAAAGTCGTCTTTGACTAGCTGGGGTGGAGGAACAACCAAACATTAGGACTCGTGTAAAGTCTTTGGAAGTGAATTTTGCACTGATGCCATCCAGTTATCTGGACTCATGAATCCAAAAATAATGTATTGTCCTCAGTCCTTGTTGTAATTATGTGCCGGTCCTATGGATTTTTTGGCTCTAGATATGATTCGAAGGTAGAGTATGGGGCATATTACACAGTTACAAAAAGTCTAAAATTGTTGCTTTCTGGAGAATTTCTCTGACTCTGTGCCACTAAGGTCTGATATCAGAGAAAGATAGGTTACATTCTGGAATTTCCTAAAGCAACCAAGTTGCGGTGCAGAGGAATAATATATACATGTTTGATTCTGCAGATTTGAATACGTTAAAAAGCCCATCGAGGCCACCTTAAAACCTGAGCCTACGCACTTTTGCCTTCAGCTGTGCACACAATTAGAATTAGAATAATGAGCTGCCACGTCTGATGTCGGAGCATATCGAGTCAAGGACGCGAGGCATTGTAACCTAGTACTCACAATGCGTTGAACCTCGACCCTCATGCATGATCACTTTAGATAACTTGAATGCGGGTCATAAAAATATCAACATAACCAGACTGGCAATGGAGCCTATCTGGAGGTTTTACGGTCAAATTCAATAAAACCCATCCATCTAGTATTAACGACAACAAGAACAAAACGGAGCGTTTTAAGAGAAACATATTCCACATGCATTCAACCATTATGAGATTACCTGAAACCTGTGTACAACTGTATCAAATCTATATACATTTTCTAGGAGTGTAGTTCTACTTTTACTTGTAATGTTTATCATGTTAAGCATACTGTTTGGACAGAAGTAGGAGAGGATATTTTCAAAGTGTTATTTGTAAGTGACCCCGATGGGCAATCTTCTTTTATTTTTGCTCATGCTCTGGTGACAAAAAGTGCCTCTTGCGATTAAAGCAAATGGCGTGCCTTTAAAAAAAACAGTTCTGAAAGATTTCTTTCTGAGAAACCATTCTTGTAACTTCTAATGAATTGAAACACTTAAATCTTTTCTTCCCTTGTTGTTGGAACACATAGTGATGTGTATAAAAACAAGCTGAACTGAATATTCACTGCATGTTTTTCTTAACATTCAGTTTGTCATCTTGGCTGTGAAATGTGTAAACTGGCGTCAAACTTGTATAGGGGCCATTCCAGGAGGTTTGGATACAATTTGTGACGGTGTCCTTGTTACATGGGTAAATTTTACCACCTGTCATGACCTGTAGAGAAGTCATTTATTCTGTAAAAATAACACACATCCCTGTATTCAGCCTTGCAAGATGTATAATTTGGAATCCACACACACCCTTCCATATGCATACTTTTGGGTATTTCCTTTGTTCTCGTGTACAAAACTCCCACTCAACACTCCTTTTAGAGTAAATTTGAAATATATATTTCGTGAAATTCTTGTGGGGTACCACTTTAGTATTCCACAAGGATCAAAACTGGCCTTGTGGGGTATCTTCCATTGTTCCAGTACCCCACAAGGCATAATGTACAAGTGCACGGTGACCTCACAAGTTGTGCCCCAACCTCATGGAATGACCCATGAAAAATTGATGTACATTTATTTTCTACCGTTTGACCGTTTATACTCATTATTACCGACGGTTGGACAGATTCACGTACCCGAAAAGCATTTCTTTTTTTTTTCTATCAATTGGTTTAAGATAGATTCATTACGTTTTTGTTTAACAGATGTTACGGCTTTGAGTTGGAAGTTTTCTCTCCGTGTTGTTTCTTGGCATCAGCCCGCTCGGGTATGTACAGGTAATTATATTTTGCTAGGTGTTGCTCCCCTGGGTCGAAGGCCACAAAGCAGCCGTCCGTGACCACTGCCAATTGCGTGAAGATGTGGTCCGTTTGGAACTCCTTGACGACTGCAACGTCTCCCTCTTTTGATCCGAACTCCATGACCAGAATTCCCCGCAGAACGGACACGATCAGGGCCCCCTCTGGCGTCGCCGCCACGGCCAGCTGGTCTGTTTGGGCGGGCGAAACTAGCCTTGCGGTCTCCCGTCCGCCCACGGTGTACCGCAGGATCTGGTTGGGCTTTGAGTGTGTGGCAACGAGAATGCTCTGGTTGCAGTCAACACAGACGTTGTTGATACCCATGGCCAGCGAACCCTTCGGAAGCTGAATTCGACGTAGGACCACGCCCCGTGAATGATAGATGAACAGCTCATGTGACTTGCTGTCACCAATGATCACGTGGCCTAATTTCGAGAGCGCCAGGTTTGCTGGTTTCTCGTTGTCATATATGCATTTCCATCTGCAAAGAAAGTGATGACTGTTAGTCAAAATATATCACACAAACTATATCATGCAGAGCGTACAAAGAAAGTAAAATAAGTCAAAGAGGAAAATAGAGCAAACTGTCAAATTAACTTGGGGCTTAATGAATGATATAAAATCATCCTAATCACTCATTCATCGGGCTTAATTAACAATTCATAATTGTCAATACCTTAAATATTGTAACTACAATTTTAGTATGACAATATAATACCTTACAAATACCCAGGAAGAAAAACAGCAGCAACAACAGCAACGACAATATGCATGCACTTCACCGTTGAATAGCTTCAAAATTGGTGAAATAACATCGCAAATATAAAAGCTAAGAGGCGGAAGTTCAAGGCAAACATGTAAATCAACACCCGATCCGACTACCCACCGCTACTTATAAGTGAGGCCTGTGCAGCAAAATGGCCTGCAAGAACTGTGATGCTAATGTTATCGTATAATGCAATACAGTGACACACTTACAAGTGAGGCTAGTCAGCGTCAAAAATTTGGAAGCAGAAGGCTCGAACAAGCCTCACCTATACGTGTGCCTACTGTATTGTATCTGGTGCTAATATATTAGCACCACAGTTAGAGCATGGCTATTTTGCTGCACAGGCCTCACTTATAAGTAGCGGTGGGTAGTCGGATCGGGTGAAATCAAAGCACTGTGACCTCACCACGTCCAACGGTATCACAAACTGACCACGTACTTGTGTGTAATGCATCCCTTATAGCTGTAAAACACCGTTTTCAGGTCAGATACCAGCAGCACTAATTTCCCAGAATGGTCCACCGCAATCTGCGAGGATTTCCTGTGCAGGTATTTCTCCAACTCATGCTCGGACACGTAACTGCCGTCCTCGCTGTCGAAAATATAGATTTTTCCGTCTTGTCTAGTGTCGACTACGAACACACTTTCACTGGATAAGAGGAATGAAGAAGTTCAGGCTAACCCACACGGTTTTGTTTGTTTTATGACAATTTTTATAGTGAGGGTGGTGTGAATTTTTTTGATTCACCGTACAAACAAAGTATCTTTTTTTCTGGATTTCAAATCGACATTTTTAAGTCTGTGATACTAGGAGAACAAGGGAAAACAACATCGTGTCAACAAAGACAGTTTTAAAGCCTACATGTTTCACAAGAAACTTTCCTATTTTTCATTTTTATTATCAGCTAGGGATTTCTGGACGTGGAAAAGTTTCAAGCCATACCTTTTGTTGTCAACACCTATTCCCGATGGTTTCTTGTAGCCACCGGGAGGATCTTCAAACGGTAAACTATCACGCACTGAAATCTTCAGCGGTGCTTGAATAACTGGATAGCCACATATACCAATGCGCTGGACGAAATGCATCTCAGTTGAACGGGGTATAACAGTCACTTTGTAGCTACGGTTGAGGTTGAATGAAGTTTTGGTAAGAGAACATGTCAACAGGCAAGAACGAAATAGAAATCTTATTAAACAGCAACTAAAAGCAAATATCACTCTTCGAAATAATGTAAAGAAATATAGCTGAACGGTTGTACTCACCTGCCGTCTTGGTTATCAGTAACGCTGTGTGGTTGCTCTGAACTGGCAGTTGTTATAAAGGCAGTGATCTCGTAGCCACCAGTTGTCACCCGTTCACCTGAACCGTCAAATGTCAGGATGGTTAGTGTGTAAGGCATATCAAGGACCGCAGTATTTGGAGGGCATCTACCCAGATCTGGTGTGGACAGTGTTGTGGAGCCTGGATGTAGGGGGTTGACGTTAATTGTGAAGGGGCTGTTGGGGATAGGTTTACTATTGAAAAGGACTGCCATGGTGATCTGCCCTGCTGTCGGGGGAGTATACACAATTCGGAACGTTTTCCGGTCATCAGTTTTCTTAATCTCCGCCTCAGTCTCAGGGGAGGAGGTGTCATCCAGGACAGAGTACAAGGCCTGCAGGTCTTTTAGACATGGGAGGCAATTTTCACAGCCTTCAAACCTGATGACAATTGTATGCTCACAGCGGACAAAAGCGTCGTTCCACGTAATGTCACTGGAAACCTGGTCGTCGGGTACTGTAGGCTTTACCTCAGCAACCACTTTGTGGAATTGTCCCAGTTCAGGCAAGAGTCCCTCCACTACCTTTAAAGTCTCGTCGTGATCCCTTGTCAGGGAAAGAAATGTCTTGCTAGCGGGCTGAAATGCCACAGAAGCGTCGATGTCGTGATCGATAAGTTCATGGAGCCTTGGGATAATTTGCTCCCGGGTTTGAAGAAGTTCAACGGCGTTTCCGATTTCGCAGGTTCTCTCTGCAAACAAGCTTACGGTCTCGAGTTGAGACACAAACAGTTCAGCGTTTTCGGCTTGCTGATGGAGTTGCTCTATCCGTTCCTCGCTTTGCTTCTCAAGATCTGCAATTACATCATCATGCCTGCTCTGGAGCTGCTCCTGAAGATTACGAAAGATCCTCGAGATGTCGCTGGACATCTCTACTTTGCGGTTTTGTGTATTGTTGATCTCAGAGTCAATCTTCGTGAGAATCTCCTTCACAGTGGAGGTCTGATTTTGTACCATCTGAGTGAGATTTTGTAGCTCCTCCTTCGCCTCCGATTCTTTCTGATCCAGACTGATTATATTATGACCAGTGTGAGCTGTTGTGGCGCAAACCAAGCATATGGGCTGCTGGCATCTCTCCTCAGCGCAAAACACGGACAAGGAATGTTTGTGCTGCTGACAGTGAAGTTTGGGCCGGAGCAGTAGAATCCCTGGTCGCTCTTGCAACTCTTGTAACGAGTTTACGACATGACCGTCGAATTTGAGCATCGTGTGGTGCGCCTGGTCGCAGGACTGGCACAGGAAAGTGACACATTCATCGTGCGAGCAGAAGCTGACAGCATAGCCCCCTCCTACTCTACAGGAGCCGCAGCGAAGGCTGCTGGCCGTAGTCTCATCCCTGCCAAGGATGTGTTCCAATTCCTTCAGATTCTTGGCGATGAAGTTGTCGGGTAGACCCTGCACACTGCCTTCCGGGACGGGAGCCTCACGCCGACAGACCGGGCACTGCAACTGCGAATTACCCCGGACAAGCTTGCCCAAGCATTCTGCGCAGAACCCGTGGAAACATGGCAAAACTTTAGCTTGCTTCGTGCGTTCATCATACTTCTCAAAGCATATCCCGCACGTTACTAGCTCTCCTAGAACCTCTCTTGTCATTCCAAGCAGAGATCTTTGCGCCATGGCCGTGAATTTTGCGGGAACGAAGAAATGCGCAGGGTGTTTTGAAATCTAATCACAGCAAAGAAATGAAACGCCTCGTTTCCAGATTAAAATTTGGGTTACATTTTGTCAGCACAAGCAGTGAAAACTTCCTGAACCGTTGGCTCTAAGCCTTACTTTGAATGACAATTGCCTTGCAAGTCCTTTTATCAGGCAAATTTGGCTTACCTGTTGCGTCAACAATAGGTGTTTTTGCAAATTCAATGTCGCTGAGTTAGTGGCTGCAAAGGGAAATCTCCAAATGACACCAATCTATTTCGCAACCAATGAAATCAGGAAATATCTCCAAACGCCCATGCGCAGCAATACTGTGCATGGGCAGACCTAAAACTCATGTATTATTCAAAATGCATGCATTTCTAATTCCTTATCACTAAGCATCGGCCCGAGAATCCGAAAGTATGTGTGCGCGGTTACTCCTGTCAACACGCCCAGGGTGCTTGCGCATTACACACGGTTTTAGGAATATACTGTCGCTCCCTTGCGGGCCGTACTCCAGCCGTTTGGGTGCTCAGGTGTATATTCGTGTCAACACGAGTGAGCTCCCTCAGAGCCAGGTGTGAAGGGGTCCCCGAAATCACTACCGGTACTGAAGTGCAAGGTTCCGAAACTTCACGTTTGTCCGACGAAAATGGATGGAGCTCCGCAGGGGTCTAAATTCTCCAATATGATGGCTGAGTTTGCGGGTAAGTCATTACTGTCCATTTCCCAAGAAATTAAGTTTGGCTTCGGTGTAATCCTATCCCTAACGTAGTCAGTAAATCAGCACAACGCGTCGTGCTTTAGTGGGGTAATACGCTGTGAAGGTCTACGTCATAGATCTTTACAGTGTCCTACCTAGCTACAGAGCAATTTGTTCTAATGCTGTTTACGTACCCCATACTCCTGAGTAATCAGAAAATCCAAAGCAATGCCATTGAATTTCATGAGGATTTATATTTTTTCGTCTTAAGTCCAGAAACATAAAAGTAATTTAACTAGCAGCAAAGCCATAGTCTACGGAAGTGTATAAGGCCCAGTTGCATAAAAAACAAAACAAAAACAAAAACAAAAAAACGGTAGTACCTCGCTGCAGCGAGATAGAAACTCAAAGAAAATGTAAGTTGCCCTCATACGCTTCTAAAGTTATACTCTTCTGTAGAAAATCAAACATGATTTCCAAATTGAAGAGAAATAGCAACATGCGACTTGGGTAATAATAATACAAATAACTGAAAAATTTACCCTGCGATATTCTATTTCCATAGAATGTATCAACGTTAGAACGTAAGAGAATACATGGATATGAATGAATGTCACGGCGCTAGTACCCAAACCGCAGTATAAGAATATGTCTGTCCCTTCAAAAGGGAGAATACTTATACCAAGACATAATCCTGCTTCCATCGGTGATGTTTCAATCTTTCATGGGAACAGACGTATCTAGCCCTACCAACGCTACAAGAAAATTAACGGACATGTTGACACTAAAATTAGGAAATCACAATTCAAGCTAGCATTCAAACTTAAAAAAACTGCTGGATAATATCGATAAAAATCAACATACCTTGCAGTGCAACATCAACAAGTGATGAACATAAACAATTGATATCAACAAGCAAACACAGACATACACTGACAAATAATCTAAAACTCTCGTTTTTTATTTTTTTTTCTAGGAATGTTGCCACTCAAAGGGGAAATCAGTTACAAAGATCCGGGAACCGGTACTGTTTACAAAGTAAAGATAAAAAAATCCAAACCACCGAGATTTTGTAGGAAGAAAAGAGAGAAATATCCAACTGATGAGGGTTACGAACTGCCCGGATGCCCGAATAGGCCTCTCCCTCCAGCACCGAATGGGCGAAGGCTGTCAGAACCTCTGGAGCCTGACTCGAATAGCGACTTTGAAGATCCTGTGTATGACCCAATCCCTGATGGTGACATGGATTGGTTTCCCAAGTCGGGAAAGCATGGCACCAGCCACGGTTCAGATGACGGTGTCCCAGGTTTTATGAATACAGTCGGCGTTGATTCTTGCAGTGGGCAGCAACAAGAGCTGCAATACGAAATTCTCGAACTTGACAGCAGCCACAATCAGAATAGCGGTGATTGTGGAAAAGAATCTGATGAATTGTACACTCGACTTAAGCGCCGCGCAAATAGATCTGATGTGTAAATCAAAAGTTGTTTTGTGCGTTGATTTTACATGCTATGATGTGATCAGTTCTGATTTTCAAATGAGAACTTCTTTCAGCGTGATTCGTTTGTCTGCAGAAAACAGAAACATTTCCTTGAATTCCTTGCTATGACTAGCAAGAGTGGACCACTGGAGAGGTTAATAATGACGGGAAAAATACCCAGCACATAGTGCCGAGCCCCAGAAAGGCCTTTAAAAGGTCCTATATCAAACATATTCCACATTTTTGGCGCCACCCAAAGCCAATCCACCTCTCTCGAAAAAGCTTGGTTTGAGATCCATTTGATGTTCAGAAATGAAACCGACCAACGTAAGAAAATGATGAGGTATGAATGTAACTAAATCTTTCTTCCAACATTAGAGTATAAAAAGTGACATCTTTGGGAAATGAATTTAATTTGGACAAATGTATATTCAGCGTAACTGTACAGACTATGTAGAGATGATGTATAAAATAATAATTTGTTCTCAATGTTGAAAATGTGTAAAGCATCAATAATTATTGAACATGTATTATGTCTTTCATTATGTATTCTGTAAAACAACATTATGTATGTGATTAGTGATCCCGGGAAGTAGATTCCACGCGGGATAGGTCAGGCTTATACCTCAAAATGTTATTCATATCGACAACAAATAAGCGTATATGATATTTTGCTTTAAATTTTGAAAAATCGTATGTAGTGCTAGAACTGATAAGATCGTTTCAGTTTCAAACAGCGACAGCCCAACTGAAGTAGAAGCATTCAGAATGATGTATAAAATTGTTGGTAAAATGGGAAAATGTGTCTCGAGGGCTGAAAATCCTGGAATTAGACCTACCTCAAAGTAGCTGACATCTTCAGGCCGGGGACTGGAGGCACAGCTTTAGCAAGTGAGTGGTGTATGTTGCAATAATGGTGGGAAATTCCCCACTCATACTTCAGTGAAAGAAATGACCTTTTGTATTGACCCCCGCCGCTGTTATTCATTCTGTGTTCTCAGCCATGGTCACAAAGGCAATAAAATGACAAAGCCGAGGAATGGTCGAAATTCCAAAAGTCGTGAGCATTTCTTAATCTTGCACTCTAATGTGATGTGTGGATTGTCCTCATATTAGGTTCTTGTATTTGTCTAATGCTTGTATGATCTTTTTAATGCCTATTTTTCCTTGCAAATTGCTTTAGAGCGTTGGCTCCGTCATTACACGATTTTGTTTTCTTTTACGTGTCTTTTTATCCTTTTGTTTTCATGAGCCAAATTAATTAAAGCAACACCGGAAAAGATGTTGCTCAATGTGCTCAAACTTTGAAATTAGCTTTTCAGTATCATAATGCATTCAGGGAATTAAGCAAAGGCGATAACAGTATTTTTGAAGAAAGGGCAGTTAATCGATTAAAACTGGAACTCTTGATGGTGGTTTATTAGTCTTGCAACTGGTAACAACGTTGTTTAGGTTGAGGGAGAAGTACTGCTTGCAGGTGCAGAAAGGGAGCAATCCCTATTGGAAGAAGATTCTGCTCTGAGAAAAGAGCCGGTGGTCAGAAAAGATCCCGATGTTTCGACCAGCGTGCTCAATATTTACCATGTGTACACTATTCAGCTTTCAGGGCCAGACACTTCAAACAACACGTCGCTGTCACTCAAAATGCTTTCCGCATTGTGCCCGCATAAAAGACAATGAATTGGTACTAACCACTAACCAATGTGTCAATGTACAGTCTAGTTTCCATTGTTAATAATCAAGATATCCCTTAAATGAGGTATCTTAAGGCTCATTAAGGGGGTATTGGAGTACTTTTAAGATTGTAAGGAGTACAATTAAGATTTTTAATAGTCTACGAATAGTGACTTTGTGATGCATTATTTTTAATGGTTTATATTTTGTTATCGTTTAGAAATGCCTGTGTAAGCTGCATGTTTGTGCCTTTTACAATGGCTAATTAAAACAGATGAATTTAAATGTTGACCTTAGGTGCAGATAAAATTTGTCGATTACTATCTTGACAATTCCATTTATAAAACGCCCACAACGTTTGTGGATTTTGTCCGTTTGGTACTTTAAGACTATGCTTTGAATCAAATCACATTCGGCACGGTCGAAATCCTCAATTTAGTAACATAAAGTCTCCGTGTTATAGTATGGAAAAGGGGTAGTGCCAGGCAGAAGGAGTGGACTATTTCACTCATCTGCCGACATCGTGACGTAGAAATGCACTCTCGCTGACAGTGAAAAACCTACAGTGCCTGCTTACTGAACCGAGACGTTAACCATTGTGCCACATTTATAAAGTGTTATTCGGGGAGAGTGAACAAAGTCTTGTTGACGACGGCTGAAGTTTTGCAGTAGTATCAACATAATTTTCTTTTTCATCAAGCTTCTTTTTAGAAAGTAACGTACTTGGTAATCTCGTCTCCATAGCATGATTTTTGCAATATCACTCACAATTAGGTCCTGAAGAAGTCATTCTACATGTGTTAGTATACGGAGGTATGTAATAGCAGTGAATATTCAAAAGGGAACATGTATAAACACGCGTAACATGGAAGCAATAACACACTCATGATCGGGACGTGTTTTCCTTGCTGCGTGTGCTCGTGATTTAAAAAAAAAATTCCTAATCATTGGCATCATCACTATTGCCGGTTATGTGATGACATCATCCTTTTGCTCACGAACATGGACATTTTCATAAGCACCTGGATTATTACGTGCCTGTCTTTTCTTGCTTCAGATGAGAAAACTTTACTTCTAAATGATTTCATACCTTTATTCAAGTCATAAAAATCAAATAAAATCTCCTGTAATCAATGCTCAAACATGTAACTTTGAAATGTCGAAAACCGACATTAGCTATGAAAGTTTTTGACATCTCAGAAAAGAGAAACACATCAGTGGAGAGGAAAACTCAAACCAACCAATAGATGTTTAATCAACCAAACCTGCTGGGTTAAAGTTAATTTATGGTTCATTCTAATCCACCAATTCGGTTAACATTGTCCAACGATTGCTTAAAATGAACCATAACTAATTCAGTCTCACAAAACACAGATTACATAACCAATTTGTAACCTGGACATTGCAGTTTTTGCCTGTCCTTGAGTATAAACTCTATCCTACGTATGAAAATTCTTGATTAACGAAATATATAGTTGAGCTAGGTACACAGAAATCCAAAGTAAAGACTGCGTTTCGCTTGGCCAATCCTCTGACCTTTAGGGTAAATTGTCCGCGAAAAACACTCCAATTTTAAGCCATTGAGAGACACCGTTCTTCTGATGGTCGTAAGTCTCAAAAGAAGCCTAGGAACAGGTTGGTTTGTTATTCCAGTACTGTTCTTTTCCAATGGAACAATCCACCGTATATCTTCTCACATTAGGAACCCAGAGAGTGTATCAGCATTCACGGCTAGTCTTCTCTTCAAGAAACATTTTAGACACGTCATGTAAACAATTCATGGAGCGTTGTAGGTTTAATTCAAACACTGTTTATTCATCACCTATAGTCATGTAACTAGTCCAGAATTATGTAGCAAAAAGAGAAACATTGGTTACACATATGCGATGATTAAGCAGACGTTGGAAAAAGACCAATGGACACGTTTTATGAACAATATTGTCAAAACAAGCAATGAAATAGAACCATTTACCATCGCTAAAAGCTGCTGAACGTCACAGCAACGTGTCATCTATACTGTTGTAATAAATAATTATCAATAGTCTTGACGTTGCAATATCCTGCACCGTCTTAGCAGGGGACTGGTAACACCACTGACGTCTGTCAGTTTAATCTGTTTTTACGTTGAGACTCCTTACCCTGAATTTCAAAAAAATATGCCATTACCAACAAATTGAAGCGAGGGGAGGCCTGTCCCGAAGTAACTGCTCTCCTGAAAAGATTAGCGAAATACCCTATACCCTTATACTCTAAACATTACACATGAGCTCGACTAGGTATTTCAATTAGGTGTTAGGTGATTGAAATCTTGTGACATACATTGCCAGACTTGAGAAATGACTATCCAAAGGTAGCAACTCATTGGAACGTACCCTGTCTGGTAGAGGGGATGAGTTCGGGAGGGAAATCGGTCTGTACTGTGCCTTTGTCCCAGGGCCAAGGTAGAAAGTTTATAAATAAGTGGGCTTATGTCCTTCCTGTGCCAGAGCTGTTTATGGACAGAGTAGCTCCAACTCTAGACTTTGGAACCTAAATGGCCGTTCATTATAAGAGTAGTACAGCATGCCGATGTGTGTGACTATTGTTCGTGAGAACTGATGCGTAACTCAGTATTCATAAACTATTGTAGACAGTTTCTCTATTCAGCAAATTGCAACGTGACCATATATTAACATTTGATAATGCCTGCAGCGTAAAATCGCGCCGGCACTTGGATAAACAGACAGTTTAATCCATTCCTGTTGGTCAAGAGTTTGTGTGCAACACGACACACGGAACCTGTCATGCACTTTATAGGAGATTCTTATGGACTACTTGCACTTGGAATATACCGTAAAAGAGATGGGGGTGTTCTTGAAAATGAAAGTTTAATACTTGAACAAAGGAACAAAGGGATGTGGACTTTCCATTCAGCACGACACAATTAATTATTCATAAAGAGAATGTATCATTAATGAATGTTCTTGCGTCTTCTTTTTACGGTGCTTACTCCCCTTGGGATGTCCCTTTTAGAAACAAAGTTAGAATACTTTTGGTTAAAGTTTGACTTCTAAAGAGTGTCTACGGTAGAGACATTTATCTTGCCTTTATGTCTCTTTTGTTCATGTAGTCAGAAACGGTGTTCTTTATTGTAATTATCATAGACAAATCCTAGGGGGGGTTGTGTGTCTACTCAGAAGAGCACACATGCACCATTGCATGGTCTTATCCTCTTTTTCCAACGCGACACACCACTGACAGAACGCTAAATCGGTGCATTCTTTCAGGCTACTTTCTGCATTCTTGGGAGGGGGGATAAGTCGTATTCAGAGTAGGCATGGGGTCCTGGTTCTTGGGGAATACTGCATAATCTCCTCATCAGGGATATGTAATGTGCAGACGCAGTACAATGCCCTCAGTATGCAGTGCAATGAACGTAAGACCACTCAGTGCAAATACTGCAGGTATATACATGTACCAGTATAGTACCCGACACATTTACACGACTTTGGAAAGTATAAGCGACTCGTATACGACAGGTGCACGCCGAAATCTATAAACACTAATCAAATATACAATAAATCAGATCAAATATACAACAGTGACAACAGGTAACATCTTCTATTCATGAGGTGACATTGATAGATGTTATGAGGTGACATTGACGGATGTTAGGTGATATTGATAAATGGTAGTTGTTGTCACTATCGCATATTTGATTTGTGTTTATAGATTTCAGCGTGCACCTTTCGTATTGAGTCGTTTAAGCTTTCCAAAGTTGTGGGAATGTATCGTGTACACTACTGGTGCATTCATGGAGTATGTGCATTGGGTCGTCTTATGTACATGTATATTCTACTGTACTGAGGGCATCGTACTGTACATGTACATGTAGTAAAACACGGGTGGGAGTGCTTATTCTGGCGCACAATACAACTTTACTTTCTGTCTAAAAGTGGACGCGCTGTGTTGATAATTGCACCAGTTGTCAGAGTACTTGTTTTCATATTCATTATGTAGTCCACAGGTGACTTATATGTACATGCACAGACCCGACAGCTATATGCACTTCGAATGAGACAATTAGCCAGAGTTGTACCAGGATAAGAGTGGTTATAAGCAACAGCTGGTAATGACACGTAAAGTGTATTAGGCTTTGACATTTATTTAATCAAATAAATCTGTGTACAATTTTAAATTGTTTTGAAATAAAGGTATTTCGTCGACAGGGTTTATTTTAAATTAATGACTGGGTCATCCCTCCTCACCATAAATTGACATAAATCAGCTCCAATTGACAACCAACATCGACTATCTGACAAAAGCAGTATTTATGCATGGGAATAGATATAGCTGACTGCTGATAATGCCCTCGCCTGCGGCTTAGGCATCAGTCGCGTGCATTCTCATGAGCCGGTCTTAAACGCACATTTAAGACAGATTATTCACACACTGCTCCTTTTATTTAGGCAGCGACTCTCTCTATACAGCTTTGTGTTGTGCTCTCGGAATTAGCCTGCCTGAATGCCAGGGAATTAAAAACAAAATCTGAAATTGTGTGAAAGTAGGCGTTCCTGCTGCTTTGGTGATTTGGTAGGAAATGTTTTGGATCTACACCTTTACTGAATGAAACGCTCAAGTTATCTCTGGTCTAAACAATTGAAATTAACTATTGGTTCCCTTGGTAACACTGTTAAAGATGGTCACTCAGTGAGTATACAATGCATGAACAATTCCTGTTTATTATTTACCCCTTATGCCTGTCATACGCGTAATTTCTACTCTTTGGAGAACACGGTTTGCATATTTTGAATCGATGATAAAAGTTTAAAAAGGTAACAGGTTTTATTTCCATTCGATAAAGAGTGACGACAAGAGAAAAAAAATAATTTGTAGAACTGGAAATATCAAGAAGACCGTGAGCACCAAAAGCTATTGTTAATAATTCGTTGTGAAATTGCATGCACTTTGGGGTATTAAAGTTCACAGAAATGAAGTCTTTCAAGTATTTTTAGTAAGTACATACCCAGAAAAGTTGTACCTGATTGTTGTAGCTAAATACATGATGCTGCCATTTCTTACTTTGCAAAAGGTAGGATGGACTTTGGTTTTACATTCCCAAGTCATTTGCTGTCTGGTATCTCTCCCTCGTTGTCTGATTGGTTAGAAGTATAGCTGTATTTAACAAGGTGTTTCTCCCCGGGATCGAACGCCAGGAAGAACCCCTCCTCAGCCAATGCCAACCCCGTGTAGATGTACTCAGTCGGGAATTTTCTGACCACCACTGGACCACCAGGACCCAAGACTAACACGCTGCCCAGCACCGCGACGATCGTGGCGCCCGACGGCATCGACGCCAGGGCTAGCTGGTTGCTCTGGGCTGGGGAGTTCCAGACAGTCCTCCCTCCGTCAGCAGCGAACTCAAGCAGCTTGTAAGGCTCTGAGTGTGTAGCCACGATAATGTTGTCTGTGTGTGGCTCCACGCAGACGTTGCTGACACCTGCAGTAAGGGACTTAGGCGGAAGCGGTATGCGACACAAGGGGTCGCCCCCTGTGGCACGGTAAATGAACAAAGTCTGCGATTTGCTGTCGCCAATGACCACGTTGCCACTTGATGATACAATGACGTTTACTGGTTTGGCATTGTCTCCAGCACAGACCCACCTAATAGCCAAAGATAATATATTCATATTCATTGAGCCTCGTGCCAATCTAACCAATAAGCTTCGATGCTTGTGTACAAAAACCGCCCCAAACATAATACATTAGATGAAATACCTGTGTTCCTCCTCTCCCTGCGCGGTACATGTAATAACACACCTCAAGTTGGGCACCAACAACACAAGTTTCCCTTCGGAGTTTACAGCAATCTGCAGTTTTTTGCGCACACTGATACTTATTGCCCCACCGGGCATGAAACCGCCGTCGGTTGCCAGTCGATGGATGCAACCTTGCTTTGCATCTTCCACATACACAATGCCTCTGGACAAAATTAAGCGATAATAAAGAATGTAAAAGGAAACAGTTAGTTCCGTGCATACATTGGTCACTAATATGTGACTATAAGAGTGGACCTTGATACTAGAGTGCTCTTAGAAAACTGGACTCGATTTTTTTTGTACTCAAGTCAGCAATTATAAGAAAAAAAAAATGGCCTTCGTCTATCCGAAACAAAATCCCATCCCAATCGCCCTACAATGTGCCCTACCAGGCCTAGTATTTCCGTTTGCTCTTGAACCGTTCGACACAACTTAATTGTTACAGCTGTAACAATATGAAGAAAGGAAAACCACTCAACCAAAAAAATACCACCCAAAGTCTTTTACTAAGAGGACGGGACAAGCCATCATGGGAAGCAAAAGAAGCAAAATAAAAAATGAAATTAAACCAAACAAAATTCAAACAAATCAAACGAAAATGAAGACAAACAAAATGGGATGACAAAAAAAAATACTTGTCAATGTCCACTGCCATTCCTGACGGGGCCGCGTAGCCATCTGGAGGATCCTTAAATGGTAAGCTCTCCTCTACGGCTATTATTAGTGGCATCCCTGGCTCCAATTTGTAGCCGCAGATCTTGAGGTCCACAATGTGTCTGTCCTTTGACCGAGGTGTGAATATTACTTTGTAACTAAACATGGAAAGCAAAAATACGAACGATTAAACGTTTACTCGTACAACCGGGTAGATGGATGGCAATCAAGAAGTGTATTGAGCGTGCATGCATAAACCTATTACATTAAACCCACAAGCGTGAACGCCATGATATATATTTACTGGACAGCAAAGGAACTTGCCACTTCTGTCAAAGGCCACACATAAAAATTCACTCCATAGACATAAACAAATTTTGTACACAGGTATGCTGCAATACCCCTTACTAATCACATGCCCAAAAGCAAGTGATTATCTTTATAACAAAAAAAAAATGACATGTGTGCCAATGTGTCCTACCTATCCTACCGCTCCATCGTTTGAAGGTTTGGAGGCCAAGTCAAAGGGTATAGATAATTTTGGAGTCACTGCTGCCGAGGAAATGGAAAGATTTGGAAGAGTTTCACTGACGGAAATATTCGTCGGCATAACGCAGCTACCACACCACTTTGCACACCCCCAACGTTAAGAGTTGGTCAGTCTTTTTACGAGAATTTGATTTGTTGGAAAATTTTGTTTTGCGAGTAACAATTTTGTTTTGCCACTTGCAAATTTGATTTCTTCAAATTCCTGTTAGGGCCGATGCCTGTGCATGTAGCATGATGCATATGCACATAAATGGAGGTGCTCCTCCTTAGTGTGAATTTGACCTGTATGAAGACTTAAGTTGAGACTTCATGTCTTGACCTGTGTGAAAGTCGCCATAATTATGTAATCGAAAAATATAAATTAAACTAAAATACAAATGCCCGTCTGTATGGTAATTTTCGTTGGTCCGTGGTTTATAAATATTCATGTTCTCCATTTGTCATTTACGGATCATATCCTACATTTAATTTCCGATTTATATGACTTAGGCCTATGCATGTTTTGAAAACTTTCGTTATTCATTCCCTAAATTACATTTGGAGGGCATGGAGGGGTATTAAAATATTTCAGGGAAACATTGATGTATGTCCTATTGTGACCCACATGTTTTTCATCTTGTTAATTTGCCAGATGCTCATGAAGCAGTGTGCCATACCGTGAGACAACCGTGGTCTGGTGAATTCATTGCCATCACTAGCGTGATTGAGTAGTCTACAAAAAGCCATATAACACGGAACTGCTGTCATATGGGGTTGAAAGCTCACTTATTTGAAAGTTGAACAGCCCCAAAACAACTCAATGTGATCATATTACATCTTGAAGCATATTGAGCTGTTCAAGCTTACTCTATTTCATTGACTATCCCATCTAACTGCCTTGAAATTATGTAGAAGGTTCCTAACCACCTGGATGACGAGCAATGGATTAACACATACACAAGTGCCAGAAGCAGCAGGCTTCTCAGTGTACAGGGCTGCAAACTTGTGTTTTTCTTTTCTCTGAAACTTACCCTTTGAGGTGCTCGTTCCATCATAAGTACATGGATGGGTTACAAAGATTAAAGAATGGCAATGGACAATTCTACTAGCCTAGTTTGTAGTGAGACAGTGAAGGAAGTAGCCAAAAATTTCTCACAAAGACTCCCAACACACAAAAAATTAATGACTATTCCTGTGCATGTATTTATCAGAAACAAAATGATACTTGCACCCCATGAATTTACATATTTAGATCAAACCATTGGTTGTCATTTTTTTCTGTTAAACTGTAATTTTCTTGTATGTTTTCCTATATGTATCTTTTCATGTTCAATGTTGATGTGAAATAAATTTAATTATGATTCCAATGCTAAGTATTGTCATTTTTGCCTTAGGCCACGAAAATGACAGGCTATAAAATACGCAGATTATTTCTAAAGGTCATTAATTAGTTGTGTTAAAAACAAGTTTCAAAAGACAGTGAATGCTACCCTGGTTTTTCTCGTATTTCGAGTTTAGCGTGTTTTTTTTATTCGGACTCATACAAAAAATGTATTCAATTTAAGAATGGGATTTCCCTTGTGGTCCAGTTTTGAATAATACCTCGTTTCAGCCGCATTTGTATGTTCTACAGGTTGGGTTTGAAGCGTGGTGAGAATTTGCTAGGTCATGATTTATTTCGCAAGTAGCAGTTGTTTTGTTTATTTAAACCTAAAAAAAAAAAAAAAAAAAAAAAACTAGGGATATCACTTCCTGATGCAACTGGAATTTGAGTCACCAAAATCCTTCCGAGCATCTTTCAGTTTTGAATAATTGACCTTTTCCATGGTCGTTTCGTTTTATTTTTTCCTACATTAAAAGCAAGGCAGGCCAAATCACGTCGGTTTAAAGTAGCTTCTGCTTCTGCCTGTGCTAGTGTCGCATGGTTACGTTGCAGGCTAGGCCAAAGCACTACGCACGCCCCCGAGGCTCAAGTCAGGTATTTTATGATAATCTGGATTTGCGAGAATTTTGTTTGTCGAGAGACGATTTGTTTTATGAGATACAATTTGTTGATCGAGTCAAACTTTTGTTTTGCAAGGTTTGTTTTTTTATTTTTTGAAAATAGTAATTGTGGTTAATTTCGTACTGTCATTATTGTCATAGATTTCTCCTTGTTTTATTAACATTTTTCTGCTCTTCTCATTTCATTTACATTTTAATAATATTTTCTTTTATTTTTATTAAGTTTTCATATTTTTGTTTTCTTATGTTTATATATTTTTTTACCTTTTATTGCAGTGTTTAAGTTGTCCTTCTTTTTATTTTTAAATTGTTGTTCTTAATTGGAGTTTTCCTATTTTGGTTTTATTGTTATTTCGTTATTTCTATTCTTTTTTATTTTATTTATTTATGTTATAAATCTAATTTAGTTTATATTTTTCATATTGTCGTTTTTGCCCCTATGGCCGCCCATAGGAGAGTGACTTCCAGTGAAGCAATGAAAATGAACCAGTCGGTATTCACAATGGAAATACGTATTTATATAAAACGTGCTACGTAAACTCTCCCCTAATTTTGCGTTTCATTGCCTCTCCCGTCGCAGTTATAACATCGTGCAAAAGGTCTTTGTTGGTTTTATAATAGATCTGTTAACCACAGTTCGAATGGTTGACATGACCCCGTTGCTTTATCAAGCATCCTGGTGCTGGCGCTGCATGATACGTTTGAGTGGTTATTCCATCCACACTTACAGTTGTAGTCAAATGTTTTCATTCACTTTGAGAGTGTTTACAACAATTTAAGACTTTACCAATTTTGGCAGCGAGTCTTGCTTGCAGGTGATCAGCAAAAATAATCAGTTTGTTGAAATGGCATGAACGGAAAGTACCCAAGTGTTATATCTCTGACTAAATGTAATTGTAGACGGAATGGCTGCAATCAAACGTGTTATTAAGATTTTGGTATTTCATCAGCTGGAAAGCCATACCAAAGATAATAGAACAGAACGGATCGAAGGGGATATAGGGGATGGTTGGGGGAAGGTCCCAGTGATCTGATAGCCCCACCCCCCCAAAAAATACAATGCGTAAGAATAAAGTATAAAAGTAATAAAAAGGTGAATACAAAAGAAACATGGACGACAGTAAGTAAAGTAGTTAAAATGTAATGCATTATCTATGTATCCAACTGTCAACAAGAGGTCGAAACGATAAAAACAGACGGGCCTGACCCCTTACCATCCCCGTAAAAGAAAAAAAAACCAGGGAAAATGCTCCCAAATAGCCATGCAGGCTTCTTTTCTTTCTCGGCATATATACTGCAAAATTTGATTTCATATTAAAACGACGATAAAAGCAAATGGCGAACAGAGTTGATCTAAAAGTTAATATTACCGATAATATTTGATATCATAGTTCAGAGGTCGTCAAGTATGAACATTTCACCCGTCGCCTAGTTCTTAGCATCTGTGCGTGACTTGTTCAAAGTTACAGTTCATGAGAGAATTCAGACTATCTCTTTTAATTTGGCACGATTAACTAGCTAACAAAACTGAAAAACAGCAAAACTAAAACAATAAAACAAAACAAAATGGAATCGATACCCCCATACACCTTGCTGTAATTTTTAACCTGCCATCCTGATTGTCGACGACTTCAGCCTGTTGCCATCTGTCAGGGTGTCTTGGTGTGTTTATCATTGCGGTGACATTGTATCCCCCAGTGGTCAGGCGCTTTCCTTCCCAATCCCGTGTCGTCAAAGTCACTGTGTACGGCATGTTTACGACTGCGGTAAGAGGGGGGCATTTGCCCATAATGTTCCCCACTACTTGAGTTGAGTTTGGGTTGAGAGGGTTGACGTTGATAACGAAAGGGGTTTCGGTGGTGGGTTTGCTGTCCACGAAGATGGTGAGGTAAACCTTGCCAGCAGCTGGTGGGGTGTAGACTAATCGGTAAGTTCCTTGCTCGTCGGTCTCCTCGACCCAAGCTTCGGACTCAGACCGCGATCGGTCTGAGTTGGCTTCTGTGGAGCTTTCCCCTGCTTGGACTTGGTCACGGCCGGGCATGAAGTACCGCGCAGACAAGCTGCTCAACCTTGTTCGACGGGACGATGGCCCCCTGAGTTTGAAAAAGACAACGTGCTCGGCTCCTGCGAAAGCGTCGCTCAAGATGATTTCAACACCAGGATCTTGGTTTTCGGAAACCTGAACAACATCAACCAGGAACGGGCTCTCTTCAATCGGAACCCTTGACAAGCTGATATTCAGCTGATGCAAGCCGGCCACCAATGGTTTTAACGCCAACTCAAAGCAGTCCCCACATATTTCGACACATTTGCATTCTATCCTGCTACCATCCGGTGACTCCAAGTAAGCATGTATCATCCCAAGAAGTCTATCTAGAGATGTGCTGGAGGGACCGTCAGCACGAATACGGACTTTGTTAATTTCTCCAACAACCCAGGGTGTCCCACACTTAATCGGGAAGTCGAGTTTCAACGTTTGAATTTGCTCTGGAAAAACGTTGGAGGCACCGAAATGCCCAAGGCTTGGAATAAGCTCCTCAATCTTGGACAGGACACGGCCATGTCTCTCTGTGAGGATAATGAAAGACTCCCCAGTCGGACTGAACAGGACAGGCCTCTCCACATCGACTGCAATGAGCTCGTGGAGCCGCGAGATGATTTGTCCCCTTGCCATGAGGAGGTCTACAGGGCTGCCGGTTTCGCATGCTTTATCGGCAAACTGGCTAGCCGAGTCCATCTGTGCTGCAATTAACTTGGTCTGGCTGTTTTGGTGCTTGAGTTGATTTGTCCTCTTAAAACACACTTCTGTCAAATCCGCTAGAACGTTCTCTTTTCTGGTCTCGAGCTTGCTTTTCAGGCTATCAAACAGAGAAGAAACAGTAGACGACATTTCCACCAATAGGTCAGCGGTCTGCTTAATTTCGGTGTCAATGTATCTGGAGATCCCCTCACATTTCACTTTTTTGTCCGCAACAGCACCGGCTAGATTTTTCAACTCCTCCTTGACAGCCGTTGATTTCCTTTCCAGGTCCAGGACAGAATGGCCGTTGTGGGCCGTTGCAAAGCATACCAAGCACATGGCCCTTTGGCAGCTCTCTTCGTCGCAGAACATGGACAGGTCTTGCCTGTGCTGCTCGCACTTTAACGTCTGCCTGGGCAGGGGGATGTGTGACCGCTGCTGCAGTTGCTCCAACGAGCTGACGATGTGACCCTCAAACATATGCATCGTGCGGTGGGCACGATCGCAGCTCTCACACAGAAAGCAAACGCAGCCAGCGTCAGAGCAGAAACTGACCGCTGGGTCCCCATCGACGATGCACGAGCCGCAGCGGAGACCTTCAGGCCTGGTCACATCCACGTTCAGAATACGTTCCAACGGTTTCAACTTCTTGGCGATGAAGTTGTCTGGAAATTCCCGCACGCCTCCCCTTGGAATGGCTGTATCACGCCGACACAACGGGCACTGGAAATCCACCTCGCCTGGGTTGCGTCGGGTGAGATTGTCGAGGCAAACCAGACAGAATCCATGCAGACACGGCAGAAATTTTGCAGCCCTGTCAGCATCGTCATACCTCTCACAGCAGATAGGGCAGGTCAGTATTTCAATAATTTCACCGGTTATTTCAAACAGAGACGCCTGCGTTGCCATGCTTTGACCCTATACAGACGATCCACTAACCTCAAGAACAGCAACGCGTCCAAAGTGTCTAACGCCAAACGCTCTGTAAAGATTAGAACCTGGCTGTTTCAAGTTTATTTCTAATGTAATGCCAAGCCCACTACTGCGGGAGAAGCAAAGTTCAGTAAATTTGAATATCAATACTCAGATACGGATTGACTTTCAAAGCACTAAAAATAACATGGAAAGAATGCAGCAAATAGTCGACGTACTCTGGGACTTCCACGGGCTTCCCAGGTCACCGACTTGTTTGTCTGGAACATGAAGCTAGTTTAACACTATCTTCCAGGTATTTCCATACATAATTAATCCAGTGATCTCCACCATTAAGTCAAGTCATTAAAAATAAGTTGCAACGATTACATGTTGTTACGGCAGTTTACTCTGGAACAAAAAAAAATCATTAATGGGAACCGTTGTTTGCTATGTGTTATAAATGTTGTCAATTAGCCGTCTTTTATGTTAAACATCTTTAAAGTTGAACATCTGTTGTAATTTGGCTTATTTTGGGGTTCATGTGAAAAGCGGTTGTCGTGGCTTGTCAGCTACAGAAAAGATAAAAAGGATGGTTAAAATCAGTGATTTTTTTTTAACTCGTCACTTCGGCAGAAGAGTGTATGTATACTTTTGACCACTATATCCCACAAGTCAAACTTTCAGACGATGGTCAAGTACAATGACAGAATTGCGCGTGGTCATGTAGCTATACCACGGTTTACTCTATCGGCACCTATAGATCAAGTTTTTCCCATGGTTGGTGAATGGAGACATCGGGTAAAGCTTCAATGGTGGAGTGTGCTTGAAGAGAGGCTGCAAGCAAAGGTATGCGGCATTTGGTTGGATTCCATTGTTATAGGTCATCTTTGTTTTGTGAGGAGAGTCACACATTTTGAGCCAAGATGGCGACTCCAAATCATGCTCACGGGTATACGCACATTCATTATGCAGAACAGATTTCTAACCGTAAATACTTCGCAACCTCGCAGGCTGCTCTACAGATAAATACATCCAGACGCCTACTGTACAGAAATGTTACCCATGCATTGCATTGCACAGGTAGTTCACATCTATTTTTTTTTTTACACAGATTCAGAAGGTCGTTGGTTTGGGATGGCTACCCCTTCTGAATAGGTTTCTCTTGAATTCCGTCTGCGCATGGGCAGCGATAAATTTGTACCATTACGTCAAGACACTGCTTGTGTAGCTTTCACAACACTCGTATCTCGCGCCGTTCACTTGGTGTAAGGCGTTACTCTTGTGCGGACTTTTGCATCGCAGACGAAAAGTTTGCTTTTGAGGGAGCGCCTGTAGGACACCTAGGACAAGAGTTTACTAAAGGCAGTGGATGCCTCTGGTCAAGTGCCGGTCGGAAATACCCAGCATACTTCCAGGTTGACCGATCCCGAGTCTAGCTTACTTCCTAATACCCGGATCTGACTACGCTTACCCACTCCATAGGATGGCCAATGCTCCAAACGGGAAGAATGTTCTCAGCAAGTTCGAAAGTAAGTGCTGACTTCCACTTTATTTTAAACTGAATAATTTCATGCTGTGGGCTATAAAGGGAGGAGGGACTACGAACAAAGATGCCAATACCATAACACGTTTAGTTCTCAAAATATATTGCAATGTGTAAACCTGAATAATACTTGGCAGAGGTTAGTCCTCGAGGGCACTTAAAGCTACTCATGCCGGGCATGCGTGTAGAGGCTCATTCCTGGGACTCACAACAAGAACCCACAACATAGGAGTACATCGTTATATTCTGTCCTCGGTTTGAAACAGAGACCAATACTAGGATGACTGAAATTAGTAATAAATCGCCAGATTTCACATCATAAATTCCAGAAAATATATCTTGTTTTAAAAGAAAAAGGATTTAGGACTGGATCGCAATCTATTATTACTCTTCATTCATACATTTTGCCGGAATGAAACTGAACGATTGCTTCCCCAAAAGAAAAACATCAAGTCAAAACGGACCTCTCATTTCCGAAAATCTAATATATATGATGACCAGTAAACCTTTCTGTATTCATAAGCAGATGAAGAGTTTCGAAATTATTATGCTAGATATTATGCTTTATTTTCACCAATGTATGATTATAACGAGGGCGCCATTTTGCACAAGGCACTTTTTATCGAAAGGGCATGCATAAGAATAGTGTTTTAAAAATCGTAAACTACACAACAGCAAATGTTTAGTGGTAATGCTGACCACGGCTTTTGTCCAAATAAGCTATTTAAGAAGAACGCGAAAAGTAAAGTGGAAACTACTCGCAAAAAAAAGAAGATTATACACAGAGCCATGGAGGCACTCTCGTTCTACCTTAAATTAGGGCCTACACCACGTTTTACATGTTAAATGTAGAAGTTGCCATTAACGTAATATCCAAACTGTTGAATTTTTCCCTTTTACTTCTACAAAAGAGATCAAGTCATCATAACATGTATACAAAGCTTTACTTTACGTTTCCAAGTCAAAACAAAACCCCATGGTTCTTTGAAAACAGGTGCCCAAAGTAAGTTTAGCTGGTTGCATTAAATAGATACAACTTAAAGGGAACATTCTACATAAGGGAATACAGAATGAAATGGGGCAGACCAATCCAAAATCGTTGTAGGTGGACCGTGCGACGATTCTTGAAATACAACACCTGACCATTTACGTTCAGGCTCCGCCTACTTGATGAAACTGAAAAATCGCTGTGCAAGTCCCTTTCTGATCGACATAAAACCCACCATCAGTTAATCACAAGCTTCTAAGAGCTGTTTTGTAATTGCCGATAAGTATGGAAATATTTCTCTGGCAGACAATGTACAGAGAAGGCTTTATGGAATGAATGTAAATCCAGGGTAGGTGGTACACAATCGTCAACTTTTTGACCAAGAAGAGACGTGTTACTGAATCCCCGCCCCTTTCGTGGTGAGAAAAACTAAGGCAGATTTCGATGGATTGTAAGCTCCTCAATCGCAAAAATGTAGTCATTAGCAGCGGACAAAATTATGAAAAGCCGTGGAAATTCGCTTTTGAAGTAAGATTCAGTGGAGCAGGTACACATAGTTTACACCTACATCTGTATCATCACCATAGGGTAGCATACTGTATCACTGTTTATGCTTACAGGGTGGCCTTATTTGATAACTTACTTTTTTTTTCCTAATACGAGCCCTGTAATTATAATGGTGGCAGCAACCTTCCCCGCTTTGAAGTTTCTGTCATTCGTCAATTTTTGATCTACGCTATGCTCATCCCCCAATCCCGGGCAGAAATTTATGCCGCTTTTGTTTGGCCAGCGTTATCGAACAGAGATCCAAAGTGAACTAAGTAAAAATAAAACCCTAAAAAGAGCAGCCAAAGATATTGTCGTGTTGAATAATCAGACTGGAGTTTCTTAACAGCGAGCTTGATCTCGTTGTTTACGTCATCTGTTTGTTCGTCATTTTTAAAACCCTCTTGGATATTTTGTTTACTTTCCCCTCTTCTGCAATTGAAAAAGTACACCGAAACTCATTTTTCTTAAGAAATTTAACAACAAAACCAGTGTGGTTTGCGATTATGTTTGTGCATAAATTTGTGGTTTAAAAAGTTCTCCCGTCTTGACAATAACATTTTGCAAAATCGAAACTGTCTTTCTGTGTAGATGCGTTCGTGCATGTCCTTTTCTATTGAGGAAAAAGTGGTTTCCCCAAATCTTCCAAAAGTGTTTTAACCCGGACATTCGGAGTTTTGATGATGTTAGAGCCAAAATGTTTCCCACTTCAATAGTAAAAAAAAAATTGAAAGGCGTGAGGTGCGTATGGTATTATTCCTAGTTGACTTGCAGAGCAACCCACCATGTCAGGAATTTGTACGAAAGTTTTGAGGAGTAAAAGGTAAACGCCCCCGCATCGCTTTGAATGCAATCTGCTGGTAGGTAAAGAGTATGCTAAACAGGCATGTACGTGCATATGCTGTGCATGCTAATGGTACGATATAACGCTGTAAGCCTTAGAGTGAAAGGTCAAACTATATATCTGCCTGTTCGAAGAACCAAATGCATGAACACTTCTAGAGTTGCGGTCCGTTGTCAGAAATATCAAAAGCACCTTAAGTTCAACAGTCTGACATCGACTTCTCATAGCTGCCGTAGATCTTTCACGTGTACAGTGACGACGTTGATTCTAAAAGAGCTCAACATTTTTAGCCTTCAGCAGTTTTGGAGTAACTCTTTGGGGTAATTTTGTGGGCTTATTGTCGATTCGGGTAAATGAGCTTTTGAAATATTAAACCTGGTGTATTTCAGAAAAAAACCTAGGAAAAACGAGCCCTTGTACAAGTTTCACTTTTCTGTGGTGTCACACTATTGCTGAGAGTGTTATTTCCACATGATATGTTTTGTTAAGGAAATTTTTAATGTACAATTATCGTGCTGCTGAATTGATTTAAACTGAAAAAAAAAATAAAAAAATAAAACTATAGTGTTTGCAAATGCATCTTGTTTCGCCATCCTACTCGTCAAATATAACCAATACAAGTTTGGGAAAAAATTGATTTAGAGAATACACTGTGAACTGAATTTCTGTTAAAAGAATGGGCTTAAATTCGCTTTTATGACTTCTTGCACCAATCCATAGCTCCCCTACCTGTCAATTCTCACTGTCTGGACCAGGTTACCGAATTATCGACAACCTGTTACAGAACTATTGATATTTGGTTTACTGAGAAACAACTGAAACTATAGTGGTAACTAGTACCGCAGTGGCCTGAGATATTAAACACAGTGAAATGAAACTGTGATTTTTTTAATACAATTTTGCATGCATAAATGTATATACATTTACCGAAACACTCATTTCGAATTTTAACGAAATGCCAGAAAGAAATGTTTTAGAAGAAAAAGGAACATTCCATGTCAAGCCTCTGTGATCTTCAGACTATGGGCCTCGAGCTGGACCAAGAGAGGGTGCATCGCTGGTTCACGGGCGACTATGGAACGCAAGCATCGCTATAGATAAAGTTAATTAACACCTAAAACCATCTGGTTCTTTTCAGCCGATGAATGGGCTTCGGTTCGAAGTGGGTATCGCGCTCAGGGCATTCAGGAAAAACAGCTTGTCCTTGTAGTTCATGACTGTTTGTCTTTTCAAAATATTTTTCATGCAGCTTTGCAACCTGTGGACGGAAAAATCAGCTTCTTTGACCCAGAAACTGGACGGATAATCAAAGTCAAGATTGGCAAACCCAAGAAAAGCCGACTTTTCAGCTTTTTCTCGCTGAAAAGGAAATCAAAACCAACCACAGGCGAACAAGCGACAGTAGGAGAAGTTTGTGGAGCCTATAGTGAAGGGGAGGAGCCTGACTACTACAATGACCAACAGTCTGGCGCTGCCGCACCGTCTGCCATTACCACAGGAGGAGAGCCCTCTCCGAGTCCAGGAACCATCTGCTGGAGTTGGATGGGGACGATGACTCGTTGCCGCTTGACGAGAAGGGAGATACTGACCAGGACGAGAGCGACTACATGGTCGTGCCGGAAGAAGTGACACCCGTCGCACCAGTGCCCCCACCCGACAGCCCTTCTGGCTCAGACGGGGACAGTTACGACGATGAGTGCGAGGAGGTGTACCGAGCGCTGAAGCGCAAGGCTAGCAATGACTACTTGAACGTTGCGCCCCTGAGGGAGCCCTTGTACAGCAAAATCGCTGATGATCGCAGGAGGGCGTCCTGTCCGATAAACGACGAACCCGATGACGACACCACGGAGCCCCATGGACATTCTAGCAATGGGTTGTAAGTGATAATTCATAGAAGCCCCCGCTATGTTAAATAGTATGGCTCGCCACCCTAATGACTGCAGCGCGTTTGATGAAATACAACAAAAATTGGAACTGTCCGACGAGGATATAGTTCTTGGGGTTCAAAATCAAATAGAATATGAAACAAATAAACAAAAGTAACAACGCATGAATCTTTACATTTCATCTTTACAGCAATGATTAACTCAGACAAAATATATGTGGTGTAAATGTACAAATTTATTAGGGCCCCATTTGACCACAAATAATATTCTACTTATGTTGGTGGTCTACTGTTTTGCCAATGTTTATTGCGGTTTTGGTTTTAAAGGTGGTGTACCCCACTGGTAAAATCCCGAAAATCTGACTGCTGTATAATCCTGAAATATCGCACTTGAAAGAAAGTAGGCCTACACAACAGTCTCAATCAGTCTGTAAAATATCTCCACCCAGAATGCTGTAGTTTTCGAAAAAACACAAATTTTGTTCTTGTCTTTTCATTCATTATGAATGCATTATCATAATCCTACTCGTTTTGATGTCATGGTCACGAGTCGACTGCTGCTTTCCTGAATGAAGTCTTTCCATGAATCCGCAACGAGGAGGCGCATTACTCCAAGGTGAATTCACTGATTAGTCCTAGCCTTTGAAAACTGCTCTTTTATAAGGAAAATGAGAACCTGTCATGCTTGTTTCCCCGGCATCCTGACCCCGCAGACGTTGTTCTCTTGTACTACGAACGCCCTATAATCCATAGATTTTAACAAGACCTTCGTTTTCAGCTTTAAAAATGCCGCACTGTTTTTCTTGATTTTGCACAAAACAGTTGACTCAAACATGGAACAAAGACGTAATTAAGTGAAATGTAAGTTTCAGTGAATATTATTATCAGGAAGCCTTGTGAAATTACGAGAAAAAAAACCCAAAAAACAAAACAAAAAAAACAATGGTGTCCATCACCGTTAAGTATGCTGCCGTGTATTTCTTTGGTATTAAAGTCGTCATCACTATCCCTAGACAGGCAATAAAGCTTTCTATATGCGAAACATATACATAACTGTTAAAATCAAGAAGAGGTTGGGTTTTTTAGTTGGCAGGTCGTAAAACTCATAGGTATGTCACGTTTTCCCCCGGTAAACCATTTCATTGCTCTTCAATCAGCTCTTCTCTAATTACCTACCGGTAACTTTGTCATGATTATTCCTTCATTTAACGTTTAACATATCATATAGGCTGAGTTTATTTAACCAAGATACCGTTTGACATAAGTTCACCGTTCTGAGATATGTACACTCTGTAGATATTTCCATAAGGTTCATTAGCAACGGAAACACATTTTGAAAAAAAAAATGACATTACATCAGAACATCATGAACACCAACACGAATGACAATTGTTATGATGCATGTTTTTATCATGTTAATATAAAGGCGTACTTTAAAACAAGGAAATTTGTTTTTTTTAAGAGCAAAACAAAACAACAACTGCAATAAGTGTATATAATTAATTTAAAATATAACTGTATTAAAGAAGTTGAGATAAAGATATTTACTCTGTCCTTTGAATTTTAATATCGGGTACATGGGTCTTCATAAAACGGTTGTGTGAACTGCATGAAAACCCGGAAGAGACAGTGAAGTCAAATTATTCCCTTCATGCATAATTGAGTGCGAATTAATGGAGCGTGGGGGTCCCTTAAATAGGCAGTCGATCTTGTGGGAAGCCCAGTGTGTTGTCGACGAAAGGCCGTTAAGGATCCGGTTTGCTGATCGCTGCTCAGGGTACAGACCCAGCAACTGTTCATACGTGTCGGCCTACGTGTACAGAGAGGATTTGGCCGGCTTAGTCAGGGTTTGTTACTCTCTCTCCAAGGGCCAATTTCGGCGTAGCCGTCGCTGTTACTTAGATGCTTGCTTGTTTGTTTTGGGATTCTTTCGGTGGATGCTGTCGTGTTGAAAAAAAATCGTTTTGACTCAGGAGGCTTCACTTACAAGACAATCTCTCGAAAACGTAACACATTCAGGGTGGGGTGCCTGCTTCAGTTTCCGTTTTCCAGTCACTTTATCCTCGTGCAGAAATCGCACCACGTTTCATTTTTCCAGAGTTTAAATCGCAACGGTTTTTCTGAAAGAAAACCCGATTTCCCTTGGCACACTCTCCAACTGTCCTGGTGAAAAACAGTGTCGAAACCTGATCAGATTTACGTTTAACCAGCTTTACAAACAAGAAAGAGATTTAAACGCAAGGTATTCGTCGCGAAGCAGCTTCCGAACCTGTCGGACGAACTCCCGCTTGTCAACTGGCTGTCCGGTTTCGAAAGTGGTGAAGACGTGCCTCAACAGCCCGCTCTGTGGAGAGTAAAAGCCTAGGGCTTCATAATGGGACTTCGACCGCCGGCGTCTCTGCTTTTTCTTGGTGTTTTACTCTGTGCTTCTTACGTTGGTAAGTTCAACATCTTGTTAATAGGCTAATTGCACAATTTTCATGAAGCCCACTCTGTCAAATCAACATAGCGAATTTGCCCGGAAAGGGTAAGCGATTATAGGGGGAAGTTATCAAGGAAAAATTCTTGTTAGATACAATTTGGCTTCTTCAAAGGCTTTTTTTTTAGGTATTTGAATCGTTCCCCCTGCATGTTTGTGTCTATACGGTATTGTATGATGCAGACATTGACAAGAAAACAATTGCTTTCACGATTCGCAGGTAAAGTGATATTAGTTAAGATAGTAAAAAAGTGGGATTTTATGGTCTTGGTTATTTTTTTTTAATATCAATAAAACGACTAACAAGTCTTTTGTTCGTGCGTGCGTCCGATATTGCATTCACAAGCAATCGTATGACATATATCGATTACTGTTTATATCAAGAGGCCTTCCACCTCAAGTCCCTGAAGGTCATGAAGCCAAATTTCTTCAGATTCAAATTAAGTCAGGAGCTTTATTCAAGGTTTCCTGTCGAAGGCATCATTTTCCTTAAGTGTCAATGCATTCCTTGATATTTATTACCCATCCCACCCCAGTACGTCTTGTTCATCCACAGGTCTACGAGTTTTGGGCTAATTTAAAAAACAAAACAAAACAAAAACTCTCCTCCGGGCTTGTGGTATAAGTGCTTGTTAATGGGATCGCATCGTTTCCAAAGAGCTCTCGGAGAAAATGTGGAAAATCGTGCTGTTATTATTATTCCAAGTTGATCTCATGGATTTTGCTGTTGTGAACTCCATAATAATCGCTCCCTAAAAAATGCGACGTAAAGTTATAGTAGAAAGTATGACTAAAAGTGTAAATTTACAATTCTTAAGATTTTACCAATTGTTTACAACCATTATTTTGCCGTAGTTGATCAGCAAGTAAAATCACTAAGGACTATGAAAGTATTTAAGTTGAGAAATTGTTCTGATTGACCCACTAAAAGAGAAATGGTTGACAAGTGATCGAACACTCAAAGACAAATGTATAAAACATTTCGACCACAACTTTTGTCCAAAGTTGTCCATGGGACTGTGCATTCTACATCTGCGTCTACGTCTCTTCCTTTCAGTAGATGGGGGTTGATGTCCCACGTGCCCCAGTTGCAAGTCACGGTTCACGCTACCTGTTAATCCCATCGAGATCGTGTGATTATAAATACGTAATGCCGGTGATGATAAGAACGAGGGAGATTGGGAGAATCCGTTCAGTTTAACTTCACACGAGGTTGGGGCTAGCTTGGCACATACTCATTTCCCGAGACCTTTGATGTAATTACTGCCTTCGATGGGACTATCTGAGATATTTGATACTGCTCTTGGCATTAACACCTGACAAGGGAGACTCTAGAAACGAAATTTTGGGGAGGTGTGGGATTTGTTTGGTTGTTTGTTTGTTTGTTTGATTTTGATGGGGGGGTTAACAAATCGAGGTGAGACGACATCTAGGGTTTACACCTTTAGGTTGGAAAGGATACACACCAGTAGCAAAATTTTGCCTCTTTTCATTTTTTCAAAAGAAATTGCCGATCCACCCAAACCAGATTTATAATGATAATGGTTTTGAGAAGATAGTAACATTTTTACATGAGCTAATTCCAATTTACTTCCTAGTTTCGCTTCCGTACTTTGCAAAGATTCTGCGGACATACCATGTAGGCTGTACAGACCCCATGATCGTTTCAAAAACTGAAGGGAAAGAGAGATGGTCAGGCTCATACTCTCCCCAGGGTTAATTTCGTTTGTTATAAACGTTTGCAATAAAATATTAGACAAGGCCGAAGATCAAGCTGTACGCATGCTTTATGCCTGATGGTTCTTCTGTATTGACTTACAAGGTAGATTTCAGGTGTTATTTTAACTTACTATTTAATATGCAGTACATTGTTAATAATTCTCAGCATTTTCAATATTTGATTTATTGAATGACTGGTGTGATTTGTTTGGGATATCAACTGAGCCAGTGGTAACTACTTACTGTTTTTTCTTTTCATTTTTCCCCGATTGGTGTTTTATTTGTCCCCTGCATTTCATGATGAAGTATTGTGACGAAAAAAAATACGTAAGTGCCATTCAAGGCCTATCTTCAGGAAAAGGCTCACAAAATTAGAAGCAAAGCAAAGAGCAAGAAGTCTGAACACAAGGGAAAATAAAACAAAATTTCGAAGTGTATTGCTCACTAATTCGGAGGTTATATCGCAATAGTCATATCAATGAACAAGATTGGCCTGTTTATTATTTGGGTTGGTCAAAAAGTGCACTACAAGTCCATGGAAATCTACACTTTGGGGCCGAATGATCCAGATCTGGCAGGCCACAATTGCAACCTTCAGGTAAGCAGTCATCTAATCACCGCAGCCACCGTAGTTGTCTTGAGATTTCATTTAGTGCAAATCACCGTCTCATCTCAATGAGACCCTGACGGACATTGGCAGAGTCGGTCGTCGTCGAAATTAATGAAATCCCCTTTGATTCCCCATTCCTTAACGATTTAGAAGTGCTCAAGAACAGGCTGAAACACTGCCACGGTTAGTTGCCATGCAATTTTAAAGAGGGAAATGCGAATCGTCGCAACAACCTCTGAATAATTCCGTCATCTTCGCAGGCGTGAATTAAGAGGGGCGTTCCGCGCGCCAAGATGGACGGCCATCCTCTTGCTTCAGGAATTGCCCAGGGAGAGTGACTTCATGGCCAAATGACTCCGGCTTTACGGCTGGACACCTCGTTCCAAAGCCGTTGCATGCTATATTTCACTAATCTCTATGCTGCAATATAAGTAAGCATAAAAAACGAAAAGGAGAGATTTGTTCGGATTTAGTTTAACCTCCATGTTGAAATTTGTGCTTGTCCTTTTTTTTTCAATTTCCTCTTAATTTTGATTTTGTTTTCAATGTTTTAATGGTTGTTGTGGTTTTATAAGGGTTTGCTAGTTTCGTCAGTCGTCGCGGGATTGTATAAAATTTCGAAAGTTTGGTTTAATCAGTAGTTACAGTAGTAATGCTGTTTTTCTGTAGTTTATTTTATTTTTATGTTACTTTTGTTTGTTTTATGAGTTCAACTGACTCGTGGGAGACGATGTATACCACATTACTGATCAGACCAGCCTTTCTTTTTTTTTAAATCTCAACGGCATTACGCTCTTGGAGTGACCTTGCCAATTCACGTTACTGCCTTCCTCTCCAACCTAAAGCAGTATAGCATTGCATTGCCCCTTGACTACTGCAGCAGTATCAACCGATAAACAGCAGTCAACTGGTGCCTATATGACTAATAAGAGCCCTGGGAGAGGGCAGTGTACAGTAGAACCAAGACTTCTCAAAGTCGATTTTGCATTTTATTGTGCAAGGGGCCAATGGCATGGAATAGCGATCCGAGCCAGACCCCGGACGTCCATTGACAGCCTAGCAGCTGTAATCGCCATTTACACCGATCAAGGAGAACGATTGCACCTTTCCACCTGCCAATCGTAATTACTTGAATATGTAAAGTGACGATTTCACCATGAGATGTTTAAAAACCTTGATCAAACTGAAGTGCGAATCAGCCATATTGAATTTGGCCCCTAACCCCCCACAAAAACAAAAACAAACATGTTACCGATGCATATGCACGAGAAGCTTCCTTCGGAACGTATTAATCGAGTGCGTCAAACATGGTGACTTCAGCGATAAGAGATAATTTGTTGATGGTAAATATTTGTGTCCATTTTGCGTGAATAAGCATCAAGGGCACATGCTCAATGACGCAATCAATCATATCAGTCACGGCAAAGCGCTATTCTTACTGGCACAGAAAGTCCGGGAACTTTGCCATTTACCACGGATGATGCAGGAAACGTCAGTTAAACCAGTGCAAAGAGCAGGATCCCTTGCCTTTTCAGTCTTATTTTCTTCTTTTTTTTTACATTCTCCGAGTGTGATCGTATCTAGTATGTCTTGTTTATCTGCTGTGCCCTCTTTCTGTCTCACCCTGTGTGTAATATTTTCAAGTAAGTTAACAGTATGCTGGACGGAATGCTGCAAAGGGTATTCCAATGAAGGGGCCTGTGTTGATTGCTCTTTTGGCCATTGGCTGATTTGGATAGGGACAATATCCCTGTATATGTACTAATGACGCATCACTGCGTTTACGGCAGTGCAAGGTGGGATAGTCTGGGGTCATCGTACGCCACGAGTTGGAGAAATAGCACATGTGCGTACAAGTGACATTGAATTTGGAACACAAGAACATGAAAGACGCAACTGTGACCGTTTTCGGTGATGCTGGATAATTTCCACTGTTGTAATGGGGTACGGTACCTTTCGAGTACTGGGTTGTCTACCCAGTATTTAACTAGCTAGGAGGGACTAAAGCTGACAGTGCATGGGCATTTTATGGTACATACACAAGTCTACGGCCGGAAGATTAAAAAAGATAGATACACAAAACAACTGATGTTTTGAAACGGATATAATCGTGCATGCGTACACGCAGTCATGCCTACCCCTGATAGCAGTTCATACACCGATAACCCCCATTCCATCCCAGCAATGCACTGCCGTAAATACTGCAAAACATCACCAGTAATTTACGGGTATCAGACCTTGGCGAGCTAAGGCTGCATCCGAATCTCTTGTCTAGAGCTAGGTCTAGGTCTTCACTCCATTCGAAACGCGTGGAGACGCGCAGAGAATAGACCTAGCCGTAGCTCTGGAAGCCCGTTTCGGACACGGCCTCAATTTGAATCAAATCTGGTACAATGAGTTACCTGGTTACACATAATGTATAAACATGAGAGTTTGAATTACCCAGACTGAAGACACTGGTGCTATACCTCGTAAGGCGGGGCAAGCTTTCGCGTAGCGACCACCATCTCTGGAATGGACTGGTTCCTTTGTTGCCCTTCATAGCAATTGAAAACGGAGTATGTGTCTCCTATGTAACTAAGGAAACTTGCCCCGATTTACGAGGTATAGTAACAGTGTTTTCAGTAAGG